AACTTAAACTTTTGTTCTTACCCGACTTTTCTCGTCCTACTCGTCTTTCGGATATTTGCTTTAATGTTCCGTTTGACCATGGCATTCTATTTGGGATCAATGTTTCAAAGTTTCCGACATATTTTGTGTATGGTATGGTGTAGCCTCCCAATGTAACCAGTATATATTGATGACGTGCCCTATAACAGTCATCAATATATACTGTCAGCTCGAATAAAGTTATAAGCCGTTTAGTTGTAAGTGCCGCCTCATATATTATATATACATGTTTCAATGGGAATATCTAGCAAAGTTTCCAGATTGATTGACGTATTGCCCATGACACCACTTATACCCAAGTAGCATGTATGCTGAATTCTCAATAGAAGTCGACCAGAAGTTAGAAATGGTCTAATTACACTTTTATAAAGCCAATGTGAAGGATTAAGGATCTTAGTCTTAATGCCTATGGTTCTCCTACATAGCGCCCAGCACCGATGTGCCTTGTTGATCATGGTATCTCTATTTTAATTTACGTTCAACGTTTACTTCTAAGTACTTTACTCTGTCGGTCACCGGTATTTTCTTTTCCGTAAACGGGCAATTCTTAGAAATTTTTGCCATTCTTGTGAAAAGACAGATTTCCTTCCTCGGCGGATTAAAATTGAGGCCTCTCGATTTAGCCCAGCTCAAGGCCGAAATTAGAGCCTCTTCAGCCCTTCTACAGCCCTTATCGGTCGATAGAACTTTGGTGTCGCACAACTTGGTTTTCCGGGTATGTGAATATATATTACTCTTGCATCCTGCCAATTATTTATGGTATGGACAGAAACGTCTCAATCTTCAAAAGTGCGGGGAAAATACCACCCGGTCCTGCAGCTTTATAGGGTGCAAAACTCTTGATTGTCTCCTTAAACATGCCAGTTTTAATAACTATCTCTGTGTTAGCCTCCCATCCCCCAAATCGATTCATATTTGGTACCCGAAGTGAGGGTCCACTAGGAGTTTCAATATCTTCTCTGTATTCTTCAGTCTCTTGCACATGCAAACTATCATCGATTCCGGTTGGATTAGAATTATTTAATCTTCGATACTCATTTAAGCTATCTACCTGTTCAAAGAAAAGTTTCAGGAGTCTCGTTTGGTTTTTCGAACGATTTTCTTATATTCACCAAGTTTACTACGATACTCATGCCAGTATACTACGTCCTGTTTACGCCGTGCCCTTTTAAATAGTTTGCGAAGATTCAAGAGCGCAAACGTTCCGGATCTCCCCTGTTAGCCAGTGTTTTTCTTGGGCAGATCTCCGCTCTCGCAGAATACAGCTGTCGTCGAACGATTCAACCATGGAACTTGTTAACGTTTCTACTTTGGCGTCTATATTATCCTTATTTCGACATTTGTCTTTAGTATTAAAGAAATCCATGAGGACTTTCCAAATTGTACTACCCCAAGCAAAATTTGAACATTGAAAATTCGTATCAGCACATTTATGAATCTTAATTCAGATAATTTATCCAAATTCTAAAAATCTTTTCAAAAATGGGGTCGAAGCCAATTTTTTTAGTATTTGAGATAAAATTCATTTTAAATTTTTTTGACAAGCTTTCTATCTAAGAATGATTTTAAGAGTTTTATAATTATGTAGATTTTTTGGTCTAAAGTATGCCAAAGGGTTAATTTTGAATTAAATTAAATTCTGTAATCTCTTGAAATACTTTTCATTAAGAAATCATAAGTATTGAAAGAAATCATAAGTATTGAAAATGTGACAATGGCTTTTCCAGTTTTTCCAGACTATATAAGTAGTCTCATTATGGGATGCGAGTGGGATATCTATCAAAAAAATTATTTTTTAACTCAAGAATAAGATTTTTCAATATTTGGCACTTAATTTTCCCCTATTTTTTCAAAATGATAACAACTGTCGCTGGAATAGTAAAATGATTCCATCGATATGATGTTTCATTATTCTTATTAGGTAATATTATTACTATCTTAACTGTTTACCAATGATGACGAGATGTTTCTCGAGAAGGAACTTTTCAAGGTCTTCATACTGACGCAGTAACTACAGGTTTACTGTTGTTTTTATACTCTCCACCACCATCAGTGGTGATAGAGGGTATATATAACTTTGTCATTCCGTGTGTAACACTAAGAAATATTCATCTGAGACCCAACAAAGTATATATATTCTTGGACCTTATGAAATTCTGAGTCGATCTAGCTATGTTCGCTATGTTCGTCCGTTCGTTTCCGATCGGTCCATAATTAGTCATATCTCCCATACAAAGTTCCCTCCCGAAAATCACTTAAACGCACATAACTCATTACCAAATATTGATATCCATACGTTTAGCACAAATATTGCTCTTATATACAGAAATTACTGTATAACATTTTTTTCACGACCGGTCCATATTTGGTCATAGCTCCCATACAAAGTCCCCTCCAGAAAACCACTTAAAGGCACATAATTCATTACCAAATATTGATATCCCTACATTTAGCACTAATATTGCTCTTATATACTGAAATGACACTATAAATTTTGTTCATAATTGGTCATAGCTCCCATACAAGGTCCCCTCCCGAAAATCACTCATTTCTAAATTACTAATGCCATATAAAATTTGGTACAAGTATCGCTCTTATATACAGAAATGTTACTTCCGATCGGTCTATAATTGGTCATATCTCCCATACTATGTCCTGCCCCGAAAATCACTTTAACCATATTTAACTAGTTGCATTAGTATCAGCAAAACTTATTTCTACAAATATTTGATCAATTAAAAAAGTATTAATATAAAAGTAGCTGGTGGAGGTTATTTTAGATTCGGATCAGCCGAATATAGCACTCTTACTTGTTTTTTGTCAAAAGAAAGCTTTACCCATTTTCTTTAAGAGCTTTGTGGTCACTTAGTGCCCCACTATCCAATAGTACTAACCTTGGTGCAAATTTCATCAAAATCGGAAGAGGTCGATTTTAAAAACACGTTGACACGTTGAATTTATCACTTTACAAAGTCTTGATAATTTGTTTCGATATTATTTGTTATTACAAACATCATGTAAGATCAAAAAAACATTTGCAAAATATAGTGGTTACGACTTTTCGTCAAATATTTGATAGGTGTGAACGTAGCTAAAGTATAAAATTTCACTATTAGAAACACATTCGTTCAAAATAAACATTTTCCGACACACCCTAATGAACATACATATTTTATCAAGTACACAAACCAATAGTATAACAGAAATTAAATATTTGCTGTTGCTAATATTGCCATATTTGAAATATTTAAATTCTTATCAAATTCACAAACCATTATTAGAACAGTATATGCCAATATTGCCATATGTCATTAAAATGTATTCATTTGTAACTGAACAGTGTTGCCAGGAATAAGAAAAGAAATAGGCAAAAATCATATTTATTTTCGAAACGGCCAGACATCTTTCGGGAGCCGATTTTTATCAATTTAATTATCAAACGGTCTTTGCAAATGGTAGTTTGCCGTGTTTTAAATCTCAAAGGTAAATCTAGTAAGTCATCACGTTAACATTTCTTTAAAAGTTTTCAAGAAATCGAATATATTGGTGTTTTAATAATATCAACAAAAAAATATATTCAAAACTCCAAAATTTGAATTTCGCACAGCAAAACTGATAGTTTGAACCATAGCTGTAAAATTTCGATTACGATTAATAATCAATTAAATTATTTTTCAAAAATAATCCTAATGATTAATTAATTCTCTGGTAGAAAATTTGTGATTATTAATTGATTACGATTAAAATTAATCTAAAAACAAGTTAGAGTGCTATATGCGGCTGAGCCGAATCTTAAATATCCTCCACCAGCTACTTTTATATTAATAACCTTTTAGTTAATCAAATAGGAAATAGGGTTTCTCATCTTTTCTAATAGAACAAGCAAAGATTTAAATATTTTAAAATTTTTTCGCTTTGTATGCAACCGATTGGACCCATATTATGGACCGATAGTGAAAAAAATTTAAAATAACATTTTGTATACAAAAGTAATGTCTATGTCAAATTTTGCATGGATTTCATAGTTTGGTAATGAATAATGTGAATTTAAGTGATATCTGGGAGGGGACATAGTATGGGAGCTATGACCAATTATGAGCCGATCGTGAAATCTTTTTTAAATAAAAGTTTTGTAAACTAAATCAATATTTGTGCTAAATTTTGTAAGGATATCATTATTTAATAATGAGTTATGTGCGTTTAAGTGAATTTCTGAAGGAGATCTTCTACGGGAGCTATGACCAATATATACACCGATCGTGAAACTGTTTTAAAATTACATTTTTGTATAGAAAAGTAATATTTGTGGCATATATTATATAGAAATTTTACAGTATCATTTCTATATATAAAAGCAATATTTGTGCAAAAATTTGTATGGATACCATTAGTTAATAATGAGTTATGTGAGTTTAAGTGATTTTCGGGAGGGGACCTTGTATGGGAGCTAAGACCATGTATGGACCGATCATGAAAAAAGTAAACAGTATCATTACTATATATAAAGGCAACATTTGTGCTAAATTTATAAGTATTCCATTATTTGATAATGAGTTATGTGTGGCTAAGTAATTTTTGGGGATGAAACCTTGTATGGGAGATATGACCAAATATGGACCGATAGTGAAAAAATTTAATGGATACCATTATTTGGTAATGAGTTATGTGCGTTTAAGTAGTTTTCGGGAGGGGACATTGTATGGGAGCTATGACCAATTATGGACCGATCGTGAACAAATTTTACACTGACATAATTTTTTCACATCTACACAAATTGAAAAAAACTGAAATTGGAATTTTGAAATTAGTATTTTTTATCTTAGCTGTGAACAGATTCGCGTTGACTTTTTATTTTTCATCTAATTCAAAAATCAATTTTATTGTTTGCGATATTTATCAGTAAAGTTTTAAATTAATTTCAACTTTTTGATCAGCAGATTCAATATGGTTACATAGAAAATGATTGTACCTAATAGTATCTTATAGATTTTTCGAACATTTGGTCTTATTAAAAAAGATTTATCTTTATGTTGCATATCTTACGGGTTGGTGTAATTAACCCTTTTACGTGCACCATCATCATTATTATTATATTTTATTACATTTATTTAAAATTAAACAAAATATTTTTGGATGCACTTAATTTATTTTATTTAATTTTATATACATACGTATTTTATGCATAATTAATTATTATTTACAAAACAGTGTTTAAAAACATTTATAAATATTTGACATTTAATCCATATAGTGTGACTGATGTGTTATAAGACCCCAACTAATAATAAAAACATACATAGATAATATACTTTCTTCAATAAATTCTACATTCATGCGAAACAAATAAATGTTAAGAAGACGTAATAATTTAAATACTTCTGCCAAAGCGCATGTGACCGTAATCGTCAAACTGTTCCTCGCCACCACGTTTACCAAATCTCATATGACCATAATCATCGAAACGCTTGGAGCGGTCTTCATCCTCATATTCCAAAAGAAAGTCCATTAAGTCGATATTGAGTGGGATTTTTGAATGCAATTTCTGTTGATAGTCCTTGGGTGCCATAAGCATTGAACGTAAGTTGTGTTTGGCAGTGTAATATGCCGATGCGGGTCCGTTGTTGTATTGACTGTTCATCTTACCGTTACCAGAGCTAGATCCACTAATGCCATTTTCACGTAATTCACTCTTTGAGTTTTCTAAATTTCTGGCCGATATGATTGGCAACCAAAATATGGAAAGCACAATAACGAAGAACATCAAAAACATTGAGTTAAATATTCTTTGTTGAGGATACAACATTTTTAGTTTGACTGTTGATTTATGGAGTGTAAAACTCTGACTACACTGAAACCAGTTGCATCCTTAACCTTTTATAGTCCTTTTGATAACAGTACCAACACTATAGAGATAAAGCTAAATAATATAATCTTTGTTTTTCATCGATTATGTATTCACGTCAAGTTTCCACTTTTCTATTGTTATTTTATCTTAAAGGCTAAAAACGTCAAATAATCTAATTTTATTTATGCTTTATGATTTGAAGCAGAGATGAATATGGTGGTGATGGTTCTAATTGACAGGTGATGTATGTAATGTTGGAATATAAATTTTTTACAACTGCAATAAATGGAAATAAAATATGTTTAAAATTTCAATTTGTAAATTTTCAATAATAAATAGTATTATAAGAGCATTTAAATAATTCATACCCATAATTTGCCCATTAGCTTGGCTTAGTTAGTAAGCTGTAGTACAGATAATTTGATTTTTGTGTTTACAAGACAGTATACTTTAAGACAAAAGTGTTAGATAAGCAATCGCGAAGATGACCTTACCTTTAACTAGTAACGTAAGCTTTAGGCTTCTGAAGTAGCTGCATACATACATATATTTAAAAAAATAATTAAAGTTTTTTGTATGTATGTATGTATGTATGTATGTATGTATGTATGTATGTATGTATGTATGTATGTATGTATGTATGTATGTATGTATGTATGTATGTATGTATGTATGTATGTATGTATGTATGTATGTATGTATGTATGTATGTATGTATGTATGTATGTATGTATGTATGTATGTATGTATGTATGTATGTATGTATGTATGTATGTATGTATGTATGTATGTATGTATGTATGTATGTATGTATGTATGTATGTATGTATGTATGTATGTATGTATGTATGTATGTATGTATGTATGTATGTATGTATGTATGTATGTATGTATGTATGTATGTATGTATGTATGTATGTATGTATGTATGTATGTATGTATGTATGTATGTATGTATGTATGTATGTATGTATGTATGTATGTATGTATGTATGTATGTATGTATGTATGTATGTATGTATGTATGTATGTATGTATGTATGTATGTATGTATGTATGTATGTATGTATGTATGTATGTATGTATGTATGTATCTTGGTTTAATATCGAAAATCTATGAAAGTCCCCTTTCAATAAGGACCCTATAAGTTGATTTTATGATTCTAGCCTCAATTTTACAGGAAAAGTACCAGAAAATACTCCAATTTAAACTTTCATTCACTTAAGTCCCTGATTGCTTTATTTTATGTTTATAAGTTCATTTTAATATAAAACTCAAAAAGTACCTAAAAGTCCCCTTTTATATGTTCTCATTTACTCCAGCCTATACATGCTTAATTTCATGATTCTAGATTCAATATTATAGAAAACGCAAAAAGTCCCAGTTAAAGAATGAAAAAGTACCAGAAAGTCCCCTTTTAAAGATTTTTATTTACTACGGGATCAACATGCTTAATGTCATGTTTCTTGAATCAATATTATAAAAAACACAAAGGGTAGCAATAAAAGAACGAAAAAGTGCCAAAAGTCCTTTATAAAGTTTTCATTTACTCCGGAATCTACATACTTAATTTCATGTTTTTAGGTCCAATATTATAGAATATTCAAAAAGTACTTTTGAAAAACGAAAAAGTACCAAAAAATCCCCTTTTATATATTTTCAATTAATCCGGGCTCTACATTCTTAAGTTCATATTTCTATGTTCAATATTATTGCAAATTCAAAAAGTGCCGTTTGTAAAACGAAAAAGTACCAAAAAGTCCCCTTTTATATGTTGTATTTACTCCGGGCCCTGCATGCATAATTGCATGTTTCTAGAATCAATAATACAGAAAATTCAAAAAGTACCATTTGAAGAACGAAAAAGTACCAAAAAGTCCCCTTTTATATGTTCTCACTTACTTCGGGCTCTGCATGCTTTCATGTTTCTAGGATCAATATTACAGAAAATTAAAAAAGTACATGCCTTTTTGCTGGATTTCCAAGTAACACCCCAATAGCATACTTAATGTTACTAAATCTACCAATTTCTCTAATTTTATTAAAATTGGGTCAAAGAGTTTGAATAAAATCAAGTTTCCCGTTTTCTCCCTTTTGGTACTTTTTTCTCCCTATTGAAGTAATAAACATTTGATTCCAGAAAGTTGCAATATCGTAGTGGGAGCTCATCATTAAGTATTCATTTACATGTACAAATCAATACAAAGGATACAATGTTTTATGAGTACCAAAGTACCAAAAATTTGTACAATTTTCACCACTTAAACGTCTGAATATCCAAAAAGTGCTAAATTCATATTTTTATTTTTCCGTCAAGTTATGAAAGAGTCAAAAATAGTTTTTGAATGTTCTCTGGTTTAAAAGTTACATGGGGTGAAAAAAAGTACCAAAAAAAACAGTTTTTACCCGTTTACCCGGGGCCGAATTTGAAAAAAGTACCAGACACATGTCCGCTTATTTTTTAAATGAACGACGATAAGCTTTAAACTGTTTTTGTATCTTTTATAGTTTAGGAGATATGAGGTTACCTAATTTACCCGTTTTTACCCTTTTTACCCCCTAAACATTCGAATTTCCAAAAATCCTGTCTTAGTGGATCTATTTGGTGGGAGACCAACCTCCTGTCCAAATTTCAGCTCTTTAGCTTCAATCGTTTAGGCTGTGCGATGATGAATCAGTCAGCCAGTAACGTTAGAATTTTATATATATAGATATATACCCTTTATCTCAGAACCACTGTCCGTCTATGTCCGTAATTATAAATATAATAGGAAAAAAATTAGTGGACATAATAGACTACGGCTTCAACTAGCTCTAATATAAATAATCTACTTAAATTTGTTTACAATGCACAGTGGGTGGTATGTTTTTGGTAATTTAGTTGTCTAACTAACACAAATAATTTTAATCCATTCGGTTTAAAATTACGTACCATATTTGTAAAAGAGTTACAGTTGTATTCATAAAAAATGCTTATTTTAGATTTAAATCACACAATAGTTGAAGTACACTTTAGACTTAAAAGCCATTAATAAAATTGTGGTATTCATAAACAAATAATAAACCTACATTAACTATTGTGCTGTTTATTGTTTAACTTGGCATCACTGTACAATTTGGCTGTCATTTTCTGTGTTAGTGTTGCGCACAATTAGGATAAAATATTCGTTGATTCGGTTTTCTTAATTTTATATTTTTGGTTATAACACATTTTTGAAAATAAAAACGAACTTTTAAGAAAAACAAGTCAGAGTGCTAAATTCGGCTGAGCCGAATCTTAAATACCCTCCACCAGCTACTTTTATATTAATACTTTTCTAATTGATCAAATATTTGTAGAAATAAGTTTTCTCATGTCTTAAATAGAAAAATCCCAAGATTTAAACAACTTAAATCTATTACAATTCCAAGATTTATTGAACATTACAAACACAATTTTCTTTATATTTTTATAGCGCTTAGCGATATTTAGTAATTTGCATGTGTGTGAAAAATTAAAGGATTTTCAAAATACATACATATATATAATCTACACAAATTGATAATGCAACTAGTTAAATACGGTTAAAGTGCTTTCAGGGGCAGGACCTAGATATGACCAATTATAGTCCGATCGTAAAATATTCTTTAAGCTAAATTTCTGTACATAAAAGCTATATTTCAGAAAATTTTATATCTATATCGTAATTTAGTAATAAGTAACGTGTGTTTAAGTGATTTTCGGAAGGGAACCTTGTATGGGACCGACCGCACCCATGTTATGAGCCGATCGTGAAAAATCTTGAAATAGAATTTTTGTATACAAAACTAATATTTGTGGCAAATTTTGTATCAATAGCTTTATTTGGTAATGAGTAATGTGCGTTTAAGAGATTTTCGTAAAAGGACCTTGTATATGAGCTATGACCAATTATGTATATAAAGACAAAATTTCAAAATTCTGTATCTATATCATTATTTGGTAATGAATATTGTGCATTTAAGTGATTTTCTTGAGGGGACCTAGTATGAGAGCTATGACCAAATATGGACCGATCGTAAAACAATTGTATAGTGTAATTTATGTATATAAGAGCAATAAGTTTGCTAAATCAATATTTGGTAATGAATTATGTGCGTTTAAGTGATTTTCGGGAGGGAACCTTGTATGGCAGCTATGACCAAGGTTGGAATAATCGTGACAAAATGTTGAAATAACATTTATGTGTACAAAAATAGTATTAATGCCAAATATTTTATGGGTATCACTATTTGGTAATGAGTTATGTGCCTTTCAGTGTTTTCTGAAAGGCACCTTGTATAGCAGCTATGATGAATTATGGACCGATAGGAAAACAATTTCACAGTAATATTTCTCTGTATATGAGCAATACTTCTGCCAAACTTTATATTTAGTAATGAGTTATGTGCGTTTAAGTGATTTTCGGGAGGGGACCTTGTATAGGAGCTATAACTAGTTATGGACCGATCGGAAAAAAATGTCTCAGTAATATTTCTGTGCATATAAGCAATACTTGTTCCAAACTTTATATCTTAATTAAGTAATGAGTTATGCGCGTTTAAGTGATTTTCGGGAGGGGACCTTGTATGGGAGCTATGACCAATTATGGACCGATCAGAAAAAAATTTCACAGTAATATTTCTATGCATATGGGCAATACTTATGCCAAATCTTATATGGATATCTTAATTTAGTAATGAGTTATGCGCGTTTAAGTGATTTTCGGGAGGGGACCTTGTATGGGAGCTATGACCAATTATGGACCGATCAGAAAAAACTTGCACAGTAATATTTCTGTGCATATGGGCAATACTTATGCCAAATTGTATATGGATATCTTAATTTAGTAACGAGTTATGCGCGTTTAAGTGATTTTCGGGAGGGGACCTTGTATGGGAGCTATGACCAATTATGGACCGATCGGAAAAAACTTTCACAGTAATGTTTCTGTGCATATGTGTAATACATGTACCAAATTTTATATGGATATC